TTAAACATCATTATTATTTGAAACCGTTTTAATTGTGATTAAGGTGACTTTATGGCCCAGAATTATGAGATCTACCTATAAAAGGCAGTGCTTGCCACATGTTCTGAAGGAGCTTTTGTGCTCTTAGCTTTTCTCCCTCTTTTATCACATTGTTTCTTTGTGCATATACCTGAGGTTATTTTATGAATTTCTGTTATTTTGTGTCCCTACTTTCAGTAGGAAGAGTCTGTTTAATCCTGGGGAGCTGCCGCTAATTAAACTCAGTATAGCGGAATAGCTCTTAAGGACAGTGTCCTCGGCACAACTCAGACTATAGTTTTTACTTGCTAGTGCCAACAATTTGTAGCTAGTAATTAGAATATTTTGGTGAAGTATACAATCTTCAAGCTCATCATTTAACATAAAAGACTGATATGATACACAAAACCAAAAAATTATGCAAGGTAATTAGATGAGAAGAAATAGCATAGGAGTGGGCAGGAGCAATCACAGATTGCTTACAAGATTACTGAGGAAGTGATGGGAAGGGTGAGGAAGATGCGTATGGAAGCTGCAGTGGCAGTGGATAAGAGAGCAAGAAGCAGGAAAGTCTTGGCAAGCCTCGGATATCCGTCGCCAAGTGCTAGGGAATTGAATGATCCGAAGAAGGCAAAGTTAAGACACAGCACGAAAGCATGGAGAAAGGAAGGACTATTTTGGCTGGATATGATAGTTGGGACCAGGTTCCCTTCCACCTTTGTGTATTGGAGTTGGGTCAACAACAAAACCGCTACTATAGATCTAATAATATCACTCCACTCCCTCTATCTGCTTCTTCTTTCTTGTTTCCTCCTTCATCTCTACATTCTCATGTATGTGCATCAGCTGTTAAGCAAGGTACCCAGCCTATTGTACATATATTTATTTATTTATTTATTCATACATCATCTCTTGCATGTATATTGATTCGGAATATTTAATTTTGTTATTCAACATAGTGTTTGGCGATGATTTTATTGATCACTATAAAAAAATTGACTTTTTAAAAGTTGAAAAGTTGCTGTTGAAAGTTTTCAACAGTGACTCACTGTAAGAGTTCTTGTCACTAATTTATCTGCGATAATAATAAAAGTCGCCACTAAAAGTTGAGGAAAAAAAATTTATCACTGCAAAAAGATTATTGTTACCGAAAGTTGAGAATCGACAACAACAAATATGTCCATAAAACCACACATCAACAACGACTATTTAGTCATCGCTAAATGTTGAGCATTAAGTTGTCACTAAAATAATACTAGTTTACCTACCCACGTGATGCCGTGTTGCCCTCTATGTGTCACCCATGTCACCCTCTACATGGTGCCATGTTGCCTTTCACATGTCACTCACCTCATGCCACGTATCATTGTATCACTAATTTATATTTTTATTTTACAATTATCTCTTTCAAAGTTTGAACTTGTGACTTCTTCTTTTGTATCTCACCATTTTGCCACTGAGCTAGAATAAACATGTAATTTATTATTGCATAATTAAATATATAATCTTAAACTAAACAAACACACATATATCTTAAATATAAAAATTATAAATATCATTACTATAATTAAATACTTCAATTAATTCTTTTAATTTATTAAAATTGCAAACTATATTACTTATTTTGTCTAGAATAAATTATAAATATAATTGATACAATATCATTTGTATTATTTATTTTAATTTTTTTTTTTTTCTTCTCGAGGTTATTGTATTATTTATTTTAATATTCATATTTATAATTATAATATAAAAATATCTAAGAATAAATAGTTAAAATATAGATGATTTATACATTAGTTCATAATTATTTAATTTTCAAGCTAGTTTTATTTAAAATTTTATTTGTACTTTTAATTAACAATAACTCTTAAATGATGTAATTGCTGTTTTTTTGTTTTTTTTATTTCATTTTTTTTTTTTTTTTATTTTTCATTTTAAATTATAATTTTTAAGAAAATTTACACTATATTGTCTTTTTTTTTTATATTGATGTTGCAAGATAGCATCAAACAAAAAAAAATTATATAGCATCACATACATAGATATATTTCATATATTGTAAAAGTTAAAAGTAGAATTTTAGAATATCACATTTTTTCTTTTTATCTTTCTCTTTCCTATCATTAGCCATTAAAGTGAGAACATTTAACTGGCATCAAGCTTCCAAGTTACCGGTATTAAATGTAAAATTTGAATTAAAAAATTAGATTAGATGAAATATCATTTTATGAATAAATAAATTTAACTATCACATCACAATCTTTATTATAACTAAATAGTGTTTGTTGTTTAAAAATCAATTTAATCATAAGACATCTGAAAATAAAAACTCATTATCGCATTATATGCATTTCAAATTAAAATATCAAACATTAGGTTTTTAAATGAATTATCACTTCGCATAGGCATATGCGTTGGTCAATTCAGTTAGATTATGTGTTAATTGACCAAAATTAATGAACCAAACTGGCCTAAATAGTTAGACCAAATCCTAAATATTACTTGATAACAAAAATTGACATAAAATAATACAGTTTGGCTTAATTCTTTAGTCCAGCTCATTGGCATTAAATAATATGGACTTAACCTTATCTTAAAATAATTTCATTATTTTAAAGTTACAATTTAACTATAAAATATATTAAATGAAAACTAATTATGTTATTTTATATTTCATTATAAAATTGGAATAATACAACAAAATTAATATTTAAAATTTTAAATATGGATTAAAAAAAAAATAAAAAATTATATAATATATGAAAATCAAACTTTCAGTTGCAACATTCAAACAAAGTTGCCGTTGAAAGTCTCACTTTCGACAGTAACTCTAAAAAGTTTTCGCTAATTATGAACTTTCAATGGCAACTTATATGTCGTCACTCAAATTTAGACCTTCGACGGTGACATGCACTTGTTGTTGTTAAAAATTTGACAATCAGCAGTGACAATAAAAGTTGCCAACTTTTTATATAGTCACCATAGATTATTCATTTCTAGTGGCAACTTTTTATAGTCACTGTTAAAAGCCTTTTTTTTTTTTTGGTAGTGGATGTGCCTGGGTACTATTCAAAGTCAACGTAACTAGCTAGGCTTGACATATAGAATATTATTGCCTTAATTTGCTGCCCACATCAAACCGCGACAAACGGCCGCCTTGTAGAACTTAAATATTAGACGATCTTGTTCTTTCAAAACAAGAAATGTATTATTAGGTGAGATATGTATCCTATTGGTGTTAAAAGATTAATTTTTGACACCTGGAAATGGAACAAAGGGCATGCTTTCACTAACAACCTTTGAAAATTTTGTTACTTTGTTAAAATTAAGATCATATCATTAATTGGCTTCATCGAGCCAATCTCAGTCAGGCCTATTATGGCTATAGCTAGCTTGAAGGGATCTCACATAATCATCATCGAGTTGAAAGGTTACTTATCAAGTGGTTATGGCATGGATGGTAATGGTGCAGGTTTCTTAAGTATCATTTCAATGTCTGATTCCTGGAGGTATGTATGAAGAGCATCTCCTTAGACTAGAGTAACCCCTTAATTAAATAGAGCTCAAACAATTTCTTGAAGAACTAATCGATCTCACAACTTCCAGCATGTGGTGATACCTTCGTAAATGAAAAAAACTGAGGGAGATCGTCATGAGGCCATTGAGATATTTTCAACCTCAGAGATGAGGTGAGAGGAGGGGCAGAGAGAGAGAGAGAGAGAGAAGGAAGGGAATTAACCTTGGGAAATTAAATCTGTAACATGGTGGAGGTTCTGTCACATTTCCTATCTTGTATATGAGGAATACAAATCTATCATCCATGGTAAAAGAAACTCGGCCAAATCTTCAAACAGATGATGGGCTAATTAATGGGAATTTTGATAAGGTATAATCCTTTGGTTTTGGGAAGCAATTTTATGATCGAATCTTGATTCCCTACTACCATTTTCTCTACTATATACAATTATACATCTCTACATTCTTTTCACAAGCAATATACTTTACAAAAATTTATAAAAAAATTTTAATCTGGTCCATACCTTTTTTTTTTGTTATATATATATATATATGGCCAACAAATGAAAACAAAGTATTATTTTATGTTTTCTATTTTCTCTCATTATTGAGGAAAGTAAAACTTGTATTTATATGATTATATATTTATGATGTGTCGTGTGCACCCCCCTCCTCCCGAAATGTAATATGAGATTGTGATTTTATTTTTAACACAATAACCAGAATATAATAGACAATTGTGCTTTTGAAAAATGGATATTTGTATGATATATATATATATATATATATATAAATATTGTCCTTGTTTTGGCCAAAATATTAAATGTTGTCAATAATGCATGATATGTATGTTTTGAAGCTGATGCAATAAATTTTAATTTAATTAAATATTTAAAAATAGTATGATTTCCTATGAAATAAGAGTCGCGTATCTGGTTCAACCGTACAAGAAATTATTATTGCATCCACCTCAAACCAAAATACTATCATTCTTCTTGATTTTTTTTTGGGGTAAACATGCGGTAATTATTATTACATAAACCATTATTGCTAAAATAATTATGTACGTGCTCACCAGTAATTTATAAGCACACAATTTTCTGACAAGGACACAATTCTAATTTTTCTTAAACTAAGCGAATAATAGTTTAGGTACAGGTACAGCACATGCATGCCTTGCGTTTGCGTGAACCATGTGAATTAGGCTAATTATATAGCCTGCATGGAATAGAATACGATTCATCATTTATAGAATAAAATCGTTTAATTAATGACAACTATTATAGTTATGATATATAAGGTGCAGGGCCATATAATCATTGCTATTAATAAAAACAAATGTCACGACATGCAGGCCATTTGCCAGATTAAATATATTGAATATTCTTGGAAAAAAATTAATGTACATGATTAACTTAGGGCGTATCATGACAAACGGCATTTGCTGGCAATGGCAATAATGATAAAAACATGCGCGTGATATACGTTGACTTTTGAAATTTCAATTGGTCTGGCGTCGTTAATATAACACTTGTAATTAGGAATGGCGAGTGTATATATGAAAACTAATCAGCGTTGTGGTTTGAATTCCTTTCTTCTCAGAAGTTGAAACATTAATGGAGCGCGCGAAAGCATCTGGATGGAGCTAGAGATCGGTCTCTAGAGGTAAATATCCATATCTCTATCTTAAAATTCTCTTCTATTTAGAAGATAAATTTAGCAACAATCAAATGCTAGTTCAATTAGTAAGGATTTGATTCTTAACCCACAAAATCATGGGATTAAATCCTACTATTGATATGAGAATTTTGTTAGTGGATAATCTATAAATACTTCTATAATTATTCTTTGAGTCTGGAGACATGCTTTGCTTCTGTTGAGCCCCCGAGATCTAACTCATTTAAACTTTTTCTTATAAAAAAACAAGATAAATTCAGCTCATGAAAATGCTAATGTGCTACATTTCATTACATGAAATGTTATTACAATTGTCTCCATAACCTCCTCCACCGGACACAACAGATATTCATATGATTATAGCTAGTGAGTTTATCATCCTAGGTCTTGATATTTATGCGAAAAAAATTGAATAGGCACTATTTGCCACCAACCATTAGCATAATTAAATGCATGGGCTAGGACAAGTAGTGTGTGTGTGTAACCATTAACATGGTTTAGGACAAGTAACACACACACACTAACATGTATGTATGTAGTGATAAAAGAGATTATTCCTTGTTGATTAAAGTCAAAAGTAGGTTAAATTATGAATTTATGATTTTAATTAGGTTAAGAAAATTGATAGAGTTTTTAAAATTTAAATGAAATAAATTAATTAAAACAAGCCGTATGCTTAAATGATAATTAAAATTAGATGAAACTTTTATCTAAAAATTATAATAGGGCCTAAAATTATTTATTCCGTTTACGTTTAGCCTCCTCTCAATTGAATTCATAAAACCTTATTTTAAGATGCAGTTCTAGATCTAATGTAATTATATACAAGTAGAGTCAAGAAAGTAGGCTCGGTTTGATAGGCTAGTCCATATACTTGCCAACAAAATGAGCCCTTTAATTTTTTTGTTAACCCAGCCTGCACAAATGATGAGCTGTACGAGATAGCCTACATGTTCAAAGAACAAATTTTAATAAAATAATGAATGCAATGATTTGCCTAAACTCATATAGTTTTGAGTTTTGAACAGAATTGTTTTATAGTTGAATTTAGGGTATTCAGTAAGTCTTTAGATAAAGTTGAGAGGTAAAAATAACATTTAATTTAAAAATTAGGAATTTGATACGGCTTGTATTAGATTGAAATTATCACAAGTATTTGTCAGCATATTGAAGACCATGCAGCCGATATTCAAAGTTCGTCAAATATTTAATAAACTGAGAGACAGAATGCAGATTTCATGGGATTCAATAGTCAAGAAACTGAAAAATCTCTCACGAAGCTTGCCTCTCAGATGCCGGAGAACTAAAAACCAAACAAATGATCAGGACTGTTGTCATATATAAATAAAACAAACAAACCAACACTCTTGCTTACATTTCATAACGCAATGGATTCGTATTGAGATTACAAAAAAGGTCAGGTTCTCCATCATCTCAATCTCTTTGAATCTATGCACAAGCAGTCACGCCTAATATAATAAGACAGACGATCCCGCTGAGGACAGGGATGGGTTTGAGGTGAAAGGGCAAGATGGAAGCCAGACAAGTAAAACACGCGCAGATCATAAAAGCTGCTCCTAATAACCGAACGACACGCCAACAATCATCATCATCAGCTGCCGGCAGTGAATTCTGCGAAGAAGAAGATGATGATGATGCGCCTGCAACATCTTCTTCAAAAGAAAAGAGTTCTGAGGACCCAGGCGACGATGATGAAGACTCATGACGATTAGGAACACTATTGCCATGGTGAGAAAAGACGACTCCAAAAAACAAAGTCGAAATCGTACGTATGATGAGCACCCAGGGATGCATCGTACTGTTCCCTGGAGCGACAGGAGGTAACGAGCGTGAAGATAGACAATTGGAGATTAGGGCTACAGTAGAATTAGGCTAGAAGAGCGGTTTGCTTGAATACTAGTTGTTTATGCATATAGACGTCTCAACACGCTAATTTAATTTAATATTTACCTTGATCCCAGTCGCTCGTCTAACTTGTTATGTGAACGAAAATAGTATATCTAAGACTCTATCATCAACGTGGGATTCGCCTAATTAGCTTTCTTCATTTGTAGCAGAAGAACATATAATGTCTGGTAATTAATTACTTGTGAATGTCAAGTTCTAACTTGATCTTGTTTCGTGTTTTTTTTTTTTTTGCAGATAGGATGTAATTAAGTTGGTGGAAATGAAGCCAGAATCATTTAGGTGCTCTAAAGGAGGCTGAGGTATTTCTCTGCATAAAATAAAACATTAATGCTCCTTTGGCCGATGATGAAGTTTAGATGGATCCTCTCATAGTATTATATATTTTTGTTAAGACAGTAAGTTATCTAAGTGTAAATAGTCAATTTAACACTACAACAAAATACTTTTCGGAGCGTTTCTTTTTATACTTTTAGAGTGTTTTGTAAATGCTCTGAAAGCAGGAATTTCCATATATACGGGAGCATTGAAAAATGATCTTGTAAGAAAGACCTATAAAAGCATTTCTTGAGCTCCCGTACATGCAAGTCTTAGAATGACCTATGGGAGCATTTCTAGGAAAGAAAAGCTCCCGTAGGCTAGAAAAGCTCCCGTAGGATCATTTCTAGAAAAGAAAAGCTCCCGTAGGCTAGAAAAGCTCCCGTAGGATCATTTCTAGGAAAGAAAAGCTCCCGTAGGCTAGAAAAGCTCCCGTAGACCTACGGGAGCTTTTCTAGCCTACGGGAGCTTTTGTGTGCATAAACGCTCCTGTTGACATCCCTACAGGAACTTCTCTTTCAAGGAATGCTCCCATATAGGACCCTATTAGAGCATTTCTTACAAAAAAGCTCCCGTAGGTCTATTTTTAAAAAAAAATATTTAATTTGTTTTTATTATTTTCTGCATGCATTGTACATCATGATCAATATACAACAAATAATTATTTATATAATTAATGCAAGTATACAAGCAATTTCACTATATGGAAAAGTTTAATCAACTAATTTTCAATACTGTTATACATGATTATAATGTAGATTACAATTTAAGAATTTAAAAACATTTTCAATACTTCCATGCTTACATGATACAAATAAGTACATCTAACACCATTCTTATTTGGCTGTAGAGTACTCATTCATATTCTATCTGCAAAAAATAAAGAAAAATAACTTAGTTAAATCATAAATATCATATTATTATGAATAAACCCCTCTATTCAATGTCACTTTCCATACCTAATTGTCCAAGAACTGCAGCTTCATTATCTACCTGTAGCAATCAATAAGGAAGCCTTTTAGATTGAACTCATCTTCGGGTCCACACAAATTTCCACTTATGGATAAAGACTTAATTAGACTACAAAACCTTTTGGGCTCATAGTATATTCTCTTACTATTGCAAAGGAGGATATGAATGGATGTGACAATGTAAGTAAGCCTTTTTATGTAATTAATTAAGTATCTAGGGGTTGCAATATGTGATAACTGGCGTATTTGAAAAATGGTAAACATAGATATGAATTATATAAGTGATAAACTATACATATAGCTCTAATTAATTATAATACTGAAGAGGATGCTCTGCCTCTGGTGTTGAAAAATGGTAGTACAAGGCTGATTTTCAACAAACTTAAAACAGACCAACAATAACAAGGGTAAAAAAAAAAAAAATAGATGTGAATGAACACAGTGTGGTGTGGTCTGGATCATTCACTCAAATTCTAAGCCAATAAAGCAGAGAGTTAAAGGCTGAGAAACAGAGGACAACAATATACTATGAATCACAGCCATTATTAAATTGATCCCACCATTATTAAAACGTGAGACATGTATACATTGTGTGTGTGTGTGCGCGCGCGTGTGCGCCTCTAATTAATTATACAAGACACGGAGCAAACAACTCTTAGAATTAAATTAAAATATTTGATATTTCTCAAAAACTAAGAAGAATAAGAGATGACCAGTTTATATATACAGAAAAGGAACAAATGTTACTGATTATACTTTCCCTGTGTTACTGGTCAGTCCTAAGCCAATGGATCATCCGTGAGTAATAGAGGGTATCAATCTCTCTCATCAAACTAATGTGAGATTAATCGGAATTAGGAGGCGAATTTCAAATTCTATCCTCTTATAGAACGTTCAGTTCATGATCTTAAAAAAAATCTTACTTGATTTATGTGTTTCTAAGTTTTCTAGAGAAACTACTTTTAGTTCACAAATGAGCTTCTTATGATATGTCTTTATCAAATTAACTTCATGCTGTTGACGTACGTCTTAACATTTGTCTTTAGTTGGAAAATCCTTCACAATTCAACGGAGGGAGAATGCATACAAGGTAGTTCTAAAAATTGCAACTGAAAGTGGGAGAATGTGATCAGAAAATGCTTTGACATATCTATATATAGCTTTATATCTTTGTCCATCATTCCTTATCACTCGTGCTAAGCAAATTCGAAGTATTTAAAAGTTATCATAAATTGTATCAAGTGTAATAAAATCTAATGGTATCATGGGAAAAATAAATTTTTCTCATGATAGAAGAGAGAAGAAAAAAGCAGTTAAGTAAATCAAAGTAGGCTATAAGTTTATTGATGATGAATATGCTAATTGATTATTGATGGTGATTGATATTAATTCATTAATTACCTGCAGATCAATAGATGATTTGCCTTGTATTTAAATGGCTGAATGTTGATCATACATTTCAGTTGGCTGCTAAATAGTAAATACTGAAACCAACAAAAACAGTAACTCATTTGAGTGCCTTTCCATTTTCCATCAAATCAATTAATGCAAAACATCATATAATTAATTACGTACATGGTTTATGTCAAACTAAATATAGTAATGAAATTCTTCAGAATCCCAGTGGTTTTACGCATAACCTTCAACAGTGTGGACACTAATACTTATTCATTCATTGAACCTTTAAGTTATTAATTAACATAAATAGTAGAACTAATAAAAACACATAACACACATACATTACACTTTAAGGTTAGAAATAAAGCAAGAATCATGTAGATTCAAACTAGTTGGTCTGAAGGGCAGTCACCTTATAATTCTAGCCTTTGAATTAATAATAGTAACAAAAGCTTTTTATCAACTAGATGAGAAATGCTGTATTATTAGATTAAGAATTAAGAAGTTATACAATAAAAAGTACTAAGTTTCTTACTGTTATCCTCAAGCCCTTGTAGGTCATTCAGCATCATGTCTTCATAGTAGAAAATAAAATTTCAACCAAAAGCAATCACATAGCTCATGAACAAGGAAAGGTAACCTCAAGAAGAAACAAATGACGGAAGCATTTTATTGATAAAAGGAATGTAAGATTACCAAAAGCTCAGAAAGCCAACAGTACCTTCTCTTTAGTTAGTAGAACTCTTAGAAACATCCATAAGTTGGGGAAGGGTTCTTGAAGTAGCTAGATATTCAATTGCTGGCTCATAGTAGGATTAGAGCCATATGCAAAGACATGTTTCACATAGGAGCTGTTACAAAGAGAATTCTCCATTAAATTTTTCCCCACACAAATATTCCTTCACTTCTAACATTTACTAGTTGCTAATTTCATTCAGTAATTTTTTTATTGAGTAAAATTGCAATCAATGACAGCTTTGGCTTCCTTAATGGCAACACAAAGATATCATCATAACCAGTATTTCCATTCTTTACCCAACTAAGATGCCATCCAAGTCCTTGAAACCACAACATCAGAAGCAAATTTCGATGATACATAGACACAAGTTTATTTTTTGATATAGAACACTAACCTCTCATATTGATTTCTACACCTTCATGAATAAGAGAAAGAGCTGTCTCTCCATATCCTCTAAATGCCGCAATATGCTATGAGAAAAGGACAATCATATCAGATAAGTATTTTCATATCAAAATCTGACTACCTTACTCAGAAGTTTCCATAACATTGTCATTTCAGATAATCATAATTCATAATAATATGAAGTGAGGGAAGCCATTTTTCCTCATCAGATAGGTTTGGCACAGTCAGATTTTCAACTCAAACATGTAAATTAATAGAAAAACTCATAGACCCAAGTCCAAACAAGCTCCACCAAACACACGCAGTGAAAGAAGCTCACCTAAACGCTATCATGTCTAGCAAGGTGAAGCAAGGCGTACTGGAGCATGCAGCCATGATAAGGAGGAATGATGGATCTGGACATTGGACTCACGGCAGATGAAGGGCGGATTTGGAACGGAGACTCACGGCCGAGGCTTCTATGGATCTGGACGAACGACATGACGGCTTCAGCGGATGAACAGTGACAGCTCGCACAAGATGATGGAGGAAGAGCGGCAACCGAAGAAGAGATGGACAGTGGGTCTTCGAATCTGGATGAACGGCGCAACGACTTTGGCGAAAGCACCTGACGGAAGTACGGCGACGATGGAGGATGGATGGGTATTCGAAGAGATGAGGAAGACGGTGGGAAGTGGGCAGGTCTTCGCAGAGATAAGGAGAGGGAGGGCTGAATAAGGGGATTTGATTAATGAATAAATAATTTCTTTAAAATAAAAAAAAAGTACAAGAGCGTTTGACCATAAAAACGTTCTGGTAGCTCGAGTATCTACAGGCCGGTTGGTGTTTTCAATGTTTTTTTTTTTATTTTTCTTTTTTTTAAATAATACAGTGAGAGCTTTTTCTCATAATAAACGCTCTTGCATAATAGAACAGACTGGAGCTTTTTTACTTAAAAACACTCCAGTATATTCTGTTTCATGATTTAAGAGCGTTTTTATATAAAAATGCTTCAATATGAGCGCTCTCGTAATCTCTTTTTGTAATAGTATAAGCTGATATATAAGAAGTTTCATATTAAATAAAGTTAAATTTAATAATTAATGTTTCATAAAGTCAAAAGACTTATGAACTGAAATATTTAAATTTTGAGTTAAAATATGATATTATTTCACTAGCTTTGTCCAGGACTTAATTAAAAGCCCGTATTTCATTCTTAACAGCAGGTTGTATATTGAGCAAGCAAATTCATATTTCCCCTTAGGAATGTTCTTTTCAATTTTTCTTTAATTTTCATTACTTATTAATTATTTAATACAAAATCAAACACAAGGAAAATTGAGGGACTCGAATATTTTTTTATCTGCAGAAGTAGAATAGTATATTATCTATACGAATATGATAAATTATTGTTAACTCCCATTTTAATAAGTATTGATAATGCCAATGGAACCAACCTTTTCCTTCGATTTTAATTGCTAACCACCACCACCATCAATAATAATAAGATTATTATTATTATTATTTGCACGTTGATTATTTGGTTTTACGTAAAATATATAATTTATTATATGATTAATTATAGGGTTATGTTTAAATTTTTTGGTTACAAGAAAACAGCACCACCAGTATATAATTTTCTTACGGATATGTATATTTTAGTAAACATTCATATATAAGTTAAAAAAAGGGGGAAAAAATCTTAAATGAGATAAGGGTAAGTT